CATTATTATAACCAAGGTTGCTACTTTGTAAATCTGTCCCCCCAGTAAAATGACCTCGTTCCAGAAAACATGCTATTTTGTCATAATCGTTCAAACTGTGATGCCGGGAGCAGTCTAGATCGACAGGAAAATGTTTTTCTTGACTTTGATGTATGATTAGCAATATATCATGTAGTACAATTTTCGGTAGACTTCGTGAAATCACAGGTACTAGCCTCGTCTGTCAATACATCAATACTATGTGGATTATTGACAGAGGACTCCAGTACCTATGGTCTAACGGTTGTTATTTCACGGATATCCAACATAGCTGAAAGTATGACGGCACAGGTTCACGAATAAAGACGATACCCCTTTCATAACAATTTTATACCATCACGGCGACAATGCATTGATGTCGCGTGATAATAACACATAATAATAATAATAAAGGCTTTATTTATTCTTGATAACATATTGAACATGAAGCTCATCTTACATATGGTCAAGATACAATGTATGATAAAATGTACAATATTTACGAGTTCTTTCCTAAAGTCACCACTTGTATTTGATGTTGGAGAATAATAAAATGTTCTCACATTAGGAGTAAGGAAGAAAAAAAACCCTCATGGTCCCTAAGTTTATTAAATGTCTGGCCCTCGACAAAGCCCCGAGGATTAAGATTTCCTCCCAAGATAGGGGATGATTAATAAAATTTCTCATTCCTTGGGAGTTATAATGGGGAATCTCAATCCGAAGGGGAGATTATTAAGTTGCTAAACACGAAGCTTTGTCGAGAATTTGGCAACTTAAGAATCTTTACCGAGGGTTTAGATTTCCCATCTCACCCTCAAGGGGGTGATTGGTTCTTTTTCTCTTACCCTTTTTACCCATTGGCGTGACGTTGATAGATTGTTGACGTGACGTCATCCTATTGTGGACGTGACGTCACACCATTGTTATGAATAGGGGAATCTCCCCACCCCGTTTCAACCCTAGGGTTAGACTAATATAATATGTCCAGACGTTGAGGGTGTGACGGAGAAATCTTTAACCTGGGGAATGATAATCTTAATTGCCTTAACCGAAGCTTTGCATGCAATATAAGCGTTGATTGCATTTCCCCCCAGCAAATCCAGAGTTGTGTCTGTTGACTTGACGTCAATGCATTAATGACGTGACGACATCCTATTGTTATGACTTTGATCGCGACATTCTGCGAGAGGCAATCTCCTCCTAGGGATCACAAGCTGGGCCCGTATTCATGAAACCGTTCTCATGCTCATGCCTTGATTTTCTGAAGATTCACTTGATAATGCGCGTGAATCTACATGTACGTGTAGTTTAGGCCAGCATTTTGGCAATTGAATATTAATTTATTTTGTCATAAATATGAATTATGATTAAACTGTTTGTCTTTTCTTGTATAATAGTATGCTTACGTATGAACGAGGGCTATACCTGATGTACACGCCAGGCTTTGATGCCAACATTGGTTATTACTCACTGATAAAGTGATGCTAAGGAAGGCGCATCATTGTCTTTGATATTTTTGAAATTTATATTTTTAATTGGTATAATAAATCACTCCTGGTGACCATGTGCACTCAAAACCACAGGTGAAAATACAGGTATATCGATATATTATGAATTAGACTCTACGTTTAAAATAACACTACACCTATATACCTAATTCCAATACATGGTATAGTCCTCTCCCAACTGACAGGGTGATTACAACACCGTGATATTAGAACAATAAGATTAGGTAGAGTCAGTACGGTTCAGTTCAGTTCAGTTCTTTATTACCTTGAACCTTACGGCTCATCAGTTCAATATACTATATACAAGGATAAACAATACAATCACTCACACCCATATACACCCACTCCCACAAATACACCCATCCCCACAAATACACCCACCTCCCTACAAATACTACTATACCCACAAATACACCCACAAATACACACTCACATACCCATTGGTAAAGTGTATAGAGACATCCCTCTTTATGTAGGTACATATTCTTTTCTTTTCTTATTACTCAGTTGAATATATTTGGCTACGTTTGTTAACTGTTTTTTGTTCCCTGTTTCCATAAGTTGGATAAATGTATACATGCTTGGTCTTTCATAGTAATATTTCTTAATAAAACGATTTCTTAAATCTAAAAAACACTCACATTTTAATATAAAATGAAATTCATCTTCGATATCCCCACTGTTGCAGTATGCACATGTTCTTTCAATCCTATCTATATTGTTATACCTACCAATTTCAATATTTAATTTGTAAGATGACAGTCTAATTTTTGTTATTTCTTTCAGATTTATATTTCCTATGGGTTTTGTTAAATATGGTTGCAAACAGAAATATTCGCCAATAAACTTGTACAGTGAACACTTAGAAGATGAATCTATTTTTTCTTTACATTCTTGCTTAAATATATCACACATTCTGCTTTTAATAATATTATTAATATACTCGGATGTATAGGTATCTCCATATTGCCATATGTACCCTACTCCCATTCTAAATAGTTCGTTTCTTACTCCATTCATCCATTCACTTCAATTTTCTAACATTTCTTGATAACATGCATGTAAAATACAATTGTCAGTTTGTTTTGATTTTAACCAGTATTTAAAAATTCTAAATTTCCTAATTATTTCCAAAGGCAATCTTCCTAATTCTTGGTAAACCATAAAATTTGCAGTAGATTTCTTAACCCCTAATAATCTTTTACAGTAACATAAATGTATTTTCTCTATATTTGGTGTTTTATGAAAGCCCCAAACTTCCGCTCTATAATTAAAAATACTACAGACATATGTATCGAAAACATGAAGCTGAGTTTCAACGTTAAAATATTTTTTCTTAGACACGTTTGATACTGAAAACAATGCTTTTCTTCCTTGTTCAGTGATTTTTTGTTGAGTTTTTTTAAGTTGAAGATGAGTTGAATTTATCATTAAAATTCATTTATATACCCAGGTAATTAAATTCATCTAGAATATCTGATACACCTCCATCAAAGTACCACTTATCTTTTTCTCTTAATTTAACTCCGTTACGGAAAACCATCACCTTGGTTTTAGAAGTATCAACCGTAAGATTTCATTTATTTGTATAAAGTAATAATGTATCTAACATTTTCTGCAATCCCTCAGAAGTTTCGGCCAATAACACCATATCGTTTGCATACATCATTAAGAATATATTAATAGTTTGTAGCTTNCTGCAATCCCTCAGAAGTTTCGGCCAATAACACCATATCGTCTGCATACATCATTAAGAATATATTAATAGTTTGTTGCTTTATAGAAGGACACCCTTCTGTTTAAAAATTCATTTCGCAATCATTGACATACAAAGAGAACAATAGAGGAGACATAATTTCCATTGAAAAAAATCTGACATGTTTTTGTTATCCTTTACACAACATTTTACATCTCTGTACAAAGAACGTATACTATTCAACATTTTTACCACATATTCTGTCTATTAATGAAGTCAAAAGCTTTTTTGTAATCAATAAAACTGCAATACAGTCTATTTCTATTTTTCAGGGTTTTACTTATTAATGTGTGTAATACAAATATAGCGTCAATAGTTGATAAATTCTTCTTAAAACTAAACTGAGCATCACTTAATTTAGAATAGTCACTTTCGAAATTAGCAAAACGCTCATTAAGAATTGATGTAAAAAAAAAATCCCTAAACGACTTACTAAAGTAATTCCACTGTAATTATTGGTATCGTTCTTGTCTCCTTTCTTAAAAATAGGAATTTTTGGTGAGCCCTGACCACTGACCTGACTGGAGACCCTATTAAAATATAGACAATGGAGGATTACTATCCTATTGTTTAGAGTATAAGTAATGGACTCCTTGTTTGGACAACACCCTTAGGCATGTATAGATTTTTTTTTCAAACTGCTGACTAGGGGAAGTCATCGAAAATCATAGTTCAAGGGATGGTTGATATTAGAAGGAAATCCCATATGAAATAGAGGAAAACTTCAACAACCTTGGTCCAGATTATTTTTGGACACAGAAAAAAGGGTGTTGCCCGGGCAACTAAGGCAACACCCCTGGGTACGCCACTGAAATATAAGACTCTTTCTTTGGTAAAGCCGAGGGTTTTGCCAAATTTGAAAATCCCGAGGGTGGACTTTCCCTATCCTACACCATTGGGCATGAAAGAGTTTTTTGCTCTCATTCCAACCACCAGAATAAGCTCAGAAATCATGAAAATGCGTTTGAACTGGCCACCATTTTGAAAATAGCAATCCCCCCTGAGCTTTTTAAACGATAACGAATCGGCCAGCCGTATTAAGTGTTTTTTAATTTCATCACGTCGCCTTTTCCGCATTGATACATCGGAAATTTCCAAATTTGTGACGTCACGTCATTGTCGAGCCATTGTTACGTCACGTGAAATGGGGTGTAAGATTAATTTAATCTTCCCCTACCTTGAGGGTGTGACAGAGAAGTCTCCATGCCAAGGGGTGATATTGTTTGGTTGTCTAACCCGAGGCTCTGCCGAGGGTTAGACAACCAAACAAATCACCACGAGTGTTGGAGATTTCTCTGTTACACCCTCAAGGTAGGGGGTGATTATTTGACTCCCATCCTATTATTTCAGTCACAGCTCCACCGACAGTAGTCTGCCATGTTTGTAAACAAAAACACATGTGGGGTATGCATATCGTCATTCACTTTTGATGACGTTACCGATGACGCATTTTAATGACGTCACAGTTGAACACGTGCTAATCGGCACGAGGCTATCTCCCTCTAGGGGGTGACAAGCTGATCTTTCCCGGCTAGAACAGGGGCCACACCTGTGAAGGTTGGGAGAAAGAAATGTCCTACACCCTTAATCAGGACAGCTCTATCTAACACACAGGGAAATGAGAGAAAAGTTTATATTGACGAAACATCTGTTTCTAGAATTTCTTATATTAAAGAAAATATCTGTGATGGAATTTGATTGGAATGAAAAACAAATTCAACAGAAAATCCACAAGCATAATAACATGTACATCCTTACTATTAAAATTGAATTGAAAATTAAACCGAATGCAAAAACACTTGATTGAAGCATTTAGTCAAGGAAGGAACTGAACCAAGCTATTACATCTTTATCACAATGTGCATTGTCCTGGTATGTGTTTCCGTCTCCAAATCTTTATTGTATGATTTGTATACATTGTGTGAAACCTGCAGCACGCGATTACTCCCTGCTGATATATAGTGTGATAGGATTCGTTAAAATATTCAAGATTTTGAGTCATGTTCCCGTGGTGAGCAGGGTAAGGTGCATTTTGATGAACTGCCAGAAGAGTGCTTGTAGCATCAATGACCACGTGACCCATTTTCCGAGCGTCCCGAACCAGCCAATTATCATAGAGTTTTTGCCCGATTTGAACTTCCGGTATATCTTTCCAGTGGTAGCTTGGGGATGTAATGAAGTAATCGATTCCCAACCATTCATTCATTAACTTTCCTCTCTTGGCAGCTCTTTCCATATTCTTCCAAGAACTTGCTTCTTTGAGTGTGACATTCGGCGTGTCCATCCGGCGACCCACTACCATATATGTCCGATTAACAACTAAAGGCGAATTTGTAATTTCCTGTAAACTTTTGATGAAAGAATCAGTAAAAAGTATATCCCCATTAGCAAATCCATATAGTTTTGAATCTGGTTGCAGTTGCATGGCTTCTATAAACATATCCTTAAGAACGGGATGGCCTTTGACTTGTCGTCTAACTGGTAGCACCATCCATCCTAACTGTTTATATTTGTCCGGAATTTTATCATTGGTGAACAGTATGATGTTCACATGAGGCTGTAGTAGAGGCCAGTTACGTAAAGTGCAGTTATACACTTTGAATCTCCTAGGGAAGGTCATCCATGACGTAAACATTGTAATTAGTGGGGGTTGCTTTCTATAAGGTTCAACATATATTGAATCCTGCTGGAATTGTCTTGCATCTTCCTCCTTATAGAAATAACTAAATGCACGAGACGAATACCGGATGTAGATATATCCGACACATCCAGTGATAACCACAAAGATCCAAAACGTCTTCAATAAATTCATACTGGTTTCATCAGCCTGAAAGTACA